AGTGAAACAAAACTAAACAAAAAAGGGTAATTTCAAAGTACCAATTACCAAGAATATTTACAATTTTTTTTATTCGCAAAGGCAATAACAAAATTAACGTCAACAATTGCGGTAAATATATTACAAATTTCTAGATAAACTAAAGTACACAAACCGGATTAGCAACTAAAGTAGAATAAAGGTAACCAATACAACCCATTTAAATCAATAAATAAACCAAGCAAATTTTATAGAATCAAAACAAAGGTTGTGAACTAGTAAGCCTGCTGACTGTCTTCAGAAGCGTACGCCAATAATAACAAACAAATTCAATTGCACCGTTAGCAGTGTTGCCAGATCTCGCGATAGAAACAAGCAACCGGCTCTATGAAAACAAACCCAAAACAAGCCCAGCTGGCAACCCACCACATTGTGTAAAACAGGTAATTTTTAAACAGTATAAGCATACATTTACTATAGCATTACACATAAACAACAACACAATTATGATAAACACTTTCAATACCATACTTTTAAGCTCTGATAAATAAAAATAATTTTGCATATGCAATTTTTCTACATATTTATAAAAACAAAACATCCTGACGTCTGCCTGTGAGTGGAGCCCCCTAGTGGTCGTTCACAGTATGAGTGTTTGGAGTGCGTGCCCACAGACATATTTGTATGTCTATGTATGTCTGTTATGTCTATGTCTATTATATGTGTGCACCTGTTGCCTCGCCAACTTGGGTGGGAGCGATAAAGCGGAAACGGGGGTGTGGAAGGGACAAACTACCTACAAAGTACTACCACTCGTCTTTTGCTTTATTGTGCGGAGCTGGGAAATAATCAACTAGTTTCACTCAGAAAGAAAGTCAAGCCTAAATAAGTAACTTCACATTCAAAACAAGCCCCAAAAACCACAACTCCTGATTCACAAGATTTACAAGCGACTTATAAACAAGCACAAATTCGCTTATATTAAGCGGACTTGGCAACTATGACTGTTAGCCAAAGACAAACATTTCAAGACCAAAGAAATACAAAAAGAGGAGCTGCTCTAAATAACAGTTGCCCTGAAATGAATGGCAGGAGGGCTGGGCTTAAATAGGCAGACCTCTTCTGTGATTGGAGGAGCAGGAGATAAAGCAGCCAACCAGAATAGAGATAGATATCCATTAGGGGCGGAGTCAGGAGAGGCCAGGATCAGCAAAACAACCTGTCACTTAAACATATGGTTTCAGGCTATAACACTTGTTTATTAAATAAAATTAACCAATTTAAAGGATTCTGCTTTTACTTAACACTTTCAACAAAAACATATTTGTCGTGTCTAAATATTTTAACTGAGTGGTCATAATTTTATCATGGAAATTAAATGACAAACACCACACCTCATAAATTCTGTAGATGTGGGAAAAAATGTTTTAAATTTTCTTCTGTAAGAACAGGCTACAAACAACGAGACATTTCCTTTATTTTTATTGACCGTATTATTTTTTTTTGGTTTAAAGTTTTTTTTTTTCCTTCCATGTTTTTTTGGTTTTAACAAGGCAACTTATATTAAAGTCAACACACCTGCAACACAGTGAAACAGGTTTTATAGAAAAAGAATTGTAAAGATTCAAAAGTTTTCAAAGGGATTTTGTTTATGTTTCTACAAAAAGCAGTCTGGCATCATTTGCTCTAACAAGAATTTGTATAATTGGTATTTTTATTTTATTTTCAAATTTTTAGTTTGCTCCCTGAATTTGAATGCAAATCTAAAACAAACATTTTTATGGGTAATTCGAATTATTTTGGCCCTTGGAAGCATGTGGTGAAGTATTTGAAGTTTTAACTATCTCCTAAATGTTTGCAGAAAGTTAAACAATTAAACATTTTTTCCTCTAACAGAAACGTCCCATGAAATCGTTAGTTATTTTTGTTTTAAAGACTGAGGTAAACTTTAAAACCAGAGAAATGCATGAACTTATTTTAAGTGAAAAAGCACAGAGCCAGAGGGGGAGAGACCTCATTCTCTCCAGAAGATTAACACTAATCTGTGTTTGTGCTCGCCTTCAACACATTCTTCTACTGGCTGCAGTCTAACCTGCTTTCCCATCACCCAGCAGCAATCAGGAGCCTCATTGGCTCCATTTTCCTCCCTGATTTCCAGCATTATGCTTGTATGAGTGTGCATTATTCATCACCAAAGAGCTGCAATAGAAAGTGCACGTGCCTGGTACTTCACTGCAGTCTGGCCCCGTAAAGCTGCACGCATTAGAGGAGGATTAGCTGAGGCTCAGTGCTCAACGGTGTCTGGGAATCGGAAGTGAGGTGGTGCAGATATTAGGTCCAGCAGAGAGACGGGTTCAGTTTGATCTGTTAGATGTGTGTGAGTGTGTAACATCTGTACAAAAGAACACAATGTAAATAAAAGATTAGTTAAAACTTATTAATATAAGTGATTTTAAGGGGGTTGTTGAGCCTGTGTGAAAACTTTAACGTAACTAAACAGAGCGGCTGTATGTTCTGTTTTTACACCACTCATCATCATAAAAGGCTTTAAATAATCCGCCCCAGCCATGGCCACTTTGAAGATATTTGCCCCCACGTAGGTGCAATATACTGGACAGTCAGAAGAGACAATTTTGCACCTGTTTCAATAAATACAATTTACTTATAGCCACAAAACCATCTCAATTGTTCAAATAAAGACAATAAAAAATAAAGTGCAATTAATATTTAAAGTAAGAGAAAAGCAAAATCTCAACGCCTGAGTTAAAATGAGTTTAAAATAAGAATAAATATCTCTCTGCACAGTTTGTGCACGTTCAGAAAGTAAACATTGGATGCACACTTGGGCAAACTTTGCAAACTTTCAGTGTCAACCCAATTCAAGATAACAACACAAAAATGACTATACGTCAGTGAATTCTACACATCCATCGTTCATCCGCTTGATGGAGAAAAATGTCCTCCCATGGCAGGAGGCCAGTGTATTTTATGATGAAATGGCATAAAATAAACTGGAATGATCTCTATGTAAAACACTGTGTATGTCACGGTCGGCGAGGTCAGACCCAATGTAGCAGGTTAACATTGATGTCAAGATTAAAAGTGTTTTTACACAAATATTGACTGATTCTTTTATTAAGAGCTTCTTAAAGGTACGGTATCTGGATGCAACTGGTCTTTTAAAAATTTATTTCAATTTCATCTCCCTTACCTGCACCTCATGGTTCGGGGATTGTGTGAGTGTTTCCTCCCCCCTCACTGTGGGAGATGTAACAAATGAGGGTGGAGCTAGTTTTGTGGAAGGGATTAAATGATGAGTGATTTGATAAATGGAGAAGCAGGAATATTATTCTGTTCAGCAAGATGAGCTTCAAGACCATTTTTAAAAATAATTAAGCAATGTTCAGGCAGATAAATGTAAAAGCTGTGGCATCTCCCCTTATGTGGATGGTTTTTGTGGGGGAAAGCCCGTCTGTCTTCTCTGAACTGGGTCCAAGTGGGATGCCATGGACAGACAGAAAGGTAGACCAGCAGGTATTCAAAGGTGTTGCACCATAGAAGGACTTCCTTTTGTTGTAACAAAACAACAGAACAAACAGAACTCCCAGAGCAGCAGCATGACATCATCTTATATTTACATATAAAAACAGAATAAAGGTTTGTCTGCAGGCTTTGCTTTAAGTTCATCATAATCTTTTTTTTATCCTGTTGAGTTTTGTTGTAACCCAAAACAGATTGATTTTACATTTATAAATGTCTTAAATAAATAATCTGTCACTAAAAACAAAATCTTTCTTAAATATTTAGGTAATTTTCATCTTAATTTTTGTAATCGGTGCTAAAAGAACAAACAGATCTTTAAATAGATAGAAAACTAAAGCTCAGGTGCAGCCGCAGCATGTTTTTATCGCATCACTGAATGACCGAATGTCTCATCAGCTGGCTGGACAGTGAACAGTCACATGATGCTGAGGTTGCATAAGCAGCTGATAAAAAGCAACAACCTGGCTTCAAATATCAGCATGATTTTATACACACATCTAAAACCCACCAGAACTGTTGCCGTTGTAAAATTTCAACACGTATCTCGATAATTGAAACACGCAAGACATTTAATTCCTCCATTTTTCTCATGGGAGGATTTGTCTCTCGTTTCATTCTAAAAGATAAATAATTTTGAGAGTGGACAATAAGGAGGCATGATGATGACAGAGATACTGGTACCTGTAAATAATTCTTAAAAATGTTGTCAGTGGGTTACAAAAACCAAGTATGTGACCTCTTGTAACCCTCTTCAAGTTGTACTACTGTAATACTATGTACCCTGCAAAGAAACAAACCGCTTTGTAATACAGCCTATTCACTGTAAGTACCAGATACAGTACATACCCAATGGTAAATGCCAGGTATGTGATATTTATCTAGGCAGCAACACTTTGGCAAATAATCAGTCATAATAATAAATATTGTTTTAATAACTGATTATTGGTTTAATCCTAGCCTGTACTATCTACATAGTACCTACTGGGTATGTACTGGAAACTTACCACAAGCCCAGTCCCCATTAGTGTCCTGTACATACCTAGTATTTGGTACATACTTAGAAGATACCATGCATATACATGGTACATACTGTTATGTACCCGGTAACAAGTTATATCTTAGTAAAGCCCAAACCCATTAGGTACCAGGTACATATTTAGTTGGTATACAGTAAGTGTCCAGTAAGTAACAGTTTTATACCATCTGGGTACATACTCGGTGGGCTGAGTTAGTAACTCTAATACTGATTTTTTTTCAAACTAAACTGCATTTTGTTTTTGTTCATGACATGAAATTTTTATGTACTAATTTTGTTTATTTGTATTTATTTTTGAGAAATACTCTTGATGGCTCATAAGCTTCACACTGAATTGTGTTCCTGTACTTTTAAATGTTTTTGTATTGTTTGTTAATTGTCGCCCTTCCTTGTTTGTCTGTTTTACCATCTTACTGATCGTCTGTCTGACTCCGTGTTACAGGGATTTCCTTCCCCGTGGTTCTGGCATCGTGACGCGTCGTCCCTTGGTTCTGCAGCTGATGACCGCACCAACAGGTACAAATCGATTCTTTTGTTTTTCAAGTGACTTTTTTTTACACATCATGGAATATGTTGGATGAAACAAACATTTAATAACCACTCTGCAGCAGGTGATATAAATAGATATTGAAGGGATGGATAATAATTAGGTGTTTTCTTACAAGGCTTTGTATTTTTGTTCATATCATTGTTATATGCATGCTATAAATTGACTTTTTGTTATGCAGCAGTGCTTGTAATTCCTGTTTTGATTGATATAACACACAAATTAAATCAGAGCTGCAGCTGCAGAAGCTCAGATGTGATGCAAACTGTGGTCAAAAATGTTAAATATATTATTGTGAAATGCGTTTGTGACATCACTGTAAGTTTTTTAAGCACATTTGTGGTTATCGTTAAAAAATTATAAATCCAACTGAAAAAATACAGCTTAAAAAACATATGTTGCATTCATGTCAGTGCATTTAGATGTATTACAAATGACATGAAACACGTCCTTATTTGTCAGTGTTTTATCACAATAATGCAAACATGCAGTCTAAAAAACACAGCAAGCAAGAAACAGCTCCTCCGACCCTCTCCTTCACGGACATCCATCCCTCGCCACCACTTCCGCTCGGTTTATCTCTGTAGACAGATGAGAACGACCTCATGTTTCCATGGTTACATTTCACAATGTTAAATCACAATCTGCTCAAGAGCTTTTCCTCACAGCTCAGTCATGGCGTGAATCAGAAAAAAACATCTTTCAGTTAATTTGGAGACAGAATTAAGGTGGATGGATATTTTATTTTGAATTAAGCTTTAACTAACATATTATTTTAGACTTTTATACAAAACAACATTTGGAGGAGCTTAAAATGTGACATTTTTCAGAACTTAAAGGCTGATGTCCTACAAATATTGCATTTTCACTATTTTGTGTGAAATCATGTATTTTTTTTGTCTGTAACAACTACACATATGTTTTCTCCGCTGTGACTCAGTTATATTCTCTATTCTTCTGTCGTGTCCAGAATATGCTGAGTTCCTCCACTGTAAGGGCAAAAAATTCACAGATTTCGACGAAGTCCGGCAGGAGATCGAGGCCGAAACTGACCGAGTCACAGGAGCCAATAAAGGCATCTCCCCCGTACCCATCAATCTGCGTGTCTACTCGCCTCACGGTGAGGCTCACAAAACTTCTTTTTATTGAGCTTTGGAATGATTTTTAACTTAATTTAGTTCTCCATTAAATGATTTTCTAATATATTTTGGCTCTTAGTTTCAAAGTTTTTATTGTCTGTCATTAAAAGGCAAGTAAAGTATTTTTGTTTCTGTCTGTGTATGTGCTTCTGTTTATTAGCAAAATATCTGATGAATTACTGGATGGATTTAATTGAAACTTTGAAAAAAGTATTCACTGAATGTGAATCGAAAACTCGTTAACTTTTCAAGTCAGTCCCGTTCAATATGGCCACCACAGATAAAGATTAGTCAATATAAAAATGACTACAGTGCAATCAATGTTTTGGATATAAAGCTAAAATTTGAAGTGGTAGAAATCCTCAACGCATATTCTGAGCATGACATCTCATAATATCGCATGAGGACATGGTGGGACCAAAACAACTGCAACTCTTAACTCTACAACTCGTTCCTCAACATAAAATGATTGTTTAAATTTGTCATTAAATTAGTCATGAGGCCAGTGATGCACATTCCTTCAAGGCTGAGGTTTAATTTTGTCCTGTTTTCTCCTCTTCACAGTGCTGAACCTCACTCTGGTGGACCTGCCGGGGATGACGAAGGTCCCGGTGGGCGACCAGCCTGCAGACATCGAGTTCCAGATCCGAGAAATGTTGATGCAGTTTGTGACCAAGGAGAACTGCCTGATGCTGGCCGTGTCCCCAGCAAACTCCGACCTGGCCAACTCTGACGCTTTAAAGATTGCCAAAGAGGTCGACCCTCAGGGTGAGTGCACATACACAAACACACAGATGGACTGTCATGGACATTCTTTTTAGTTATTTATGTAACTATGACACACAATGAAGTCCTCATTTATGTTCTGCTAGAAACAATTATCATATTATATCGCCTGCTGCAGTGAAAGGAATGCATCTGTGTGTGTGTTTGCTTGTTTGTCTAGTCACAAAATTTCTTATGAACCACTTAATAGATTTTAATTAAATACTCAAAAAGTAATCATTAGATGTACATAAATTAATTATTTATTTTTGGAATAACCAGTTTCAAGATGGCTGCTACAGCTAATTGAGGAAAACAAAAACGGCTATACGTCAGACAGTTTTGCAGATATTGAGTGAAAGTTGTGTGTTGTAGTTGTTGAGACTGATCTCCAACATGTATTCTGAGTGCTAACAGTCCATGCAAGATTATTATTTAAAGCTTTGCAGGAAAGGTGGTGGGCGTCCAATTATTCTGTCAATGAAAGATAGTTTCATTAGTTGCAGTTCTTCTGAAGACGTTTGTTTTTAACCAATACGTCAGTGTTTTATCCACTGCATATTGTGGTAATTAGAAAAAAAACCCAAACAGGTTTGTCCCAGTGGTGTAGCCTACGTGATATGCAGGTATATGGAGTATACCCACTAGAAAAGTGTGGGAATTTCAGTATACCCACTTACAAGTGTCCAGTGACACGAGCCCATGTCATGTATCATTGGCAATGACATGGGCTCGTGTCATTGTCAACACATTTGGGACATTTTATAGACACATTGAGTTGGTTCAACCTGTTTTTTGTATAATTAACACTTCTGTATTTAATACTTGAACATGTTTTGCTTTGATACCATTTTATAAATTCTATAACGTGTTTTTAATACAAAGCCAACTGTGGTACAAAGTTTGTTGTACATGTATTCAAATAAAACCATCAGAGAAAGTTTGAAATGTTCAATATGCTTAAAAATCAAAATAAATTAATGATTACATTGTACTAACCGGTGTACTTTGGTTTCTGAGCACAGTATATCCACTACAAAAAAATGTAGACTACACCACTGGTTTGTCCTGTATTTGGTTTTACAATTCTTTTTCTTGTAGGTTTGAGGACAATTGGTGTGATCACCAAACTGGACCTGATGGATGAGGGAACAGACGCTAAAGACATCCTGGAGAACAAGCTGCTTCCATTGCGACGAGGTGCACACACACACGCACACACATGACCATATATAAATGTGTTGTGCACAATGCATTCTTCCTCCTCAGTGCAGAGACTCATGGTTTCCCTCTTGTGGCGGTAACGCAGGCCTATCCCAAGTTACTCGAGGCTCCAACAACTAGGAGGAGAAGAAAAATGGAGGGGAAGGTGGGAGGGAGCGCAACAAAGCAGAGTCAGAAATCACAAGTTGAAAAGTTAGAAGAGAGAAAGAGCTGGCAGAAAAAGGAGAAACACTTGGAAATGCATCTTGTGGGTTTTTTCCCTTTGGCCTTGTGCTGATGTGGTTCTTTACTTTTCCATTTGCACTTGGTTAGACACCAGGCATGTGCTTTGAAATATTCTTCATGGCCGTTGTTTCTTTTTTCCACCTCTCTCTCAGTCTAATGCCCTGGATGTTCAGATATCCAACGGGCTGGCTCAGATTGTCTTTAGTTATAGAACATGAAACAGCTTTTAGCAGAGCGATGCAGCAGGAAACATAACTGGAGGTAAAACAGAGTCCTTGCAAAATGACTTCTCCTGGTTAATGGCATCACCCACTGCTGAAGGCGACGTGATAATATTTTTTCTTTCTACAATTAATAAACTTATTGAGTCAACCCAGTTCAAGATGGCTGCCACAACAAGTCAACTTTAGTCTAAATAAACATGGTTATACTTCAAGTAACTTTATAACAATTGAGCTAAAATTTGGAGTGTTAGTAGCTGAGTCATTCACAAGATATATTTTAAATCTACTAATGCAAAAGTTTGCTTGAATGTTCATAAAAACTTTAACTAAAACAGCTAAAACTGTCATTTCTCCACATAAGAGGATCTGAATTTAAAACTTTTGCATAAATGGTAGCTACTGAAAGGAATCCTGTTAATTTTGTTTCTGTCTTAAAATGTTCTGATTTTTTTTGTGTTGGGAAACCCCTTCCTCTTGCGTTCTCTCGTCTGCTCAGCATCCTTTTCAGTCTATTTACCGTCTGTCTTAAAAAAAGTTTTCCGCTCAGATTAACATTATGAAACATGTCTAGAGGAGTTGGATCCTCTTGGAGCGGTTCTGTCTGAGCAAAGAGTTTATGTGAAAGATAAGAGTGCAGAACAGTCCAAGTTTCCTCCAGTACTCCTGTCCAGACTTCTTTCTTTAGGGAGTCATGAAATGAGTTGGAGCTGTTTATTTGCTCGCAGTAAATCGGTTGCAGATGATGAACATTAGTGGGTCTCTTGTCTGTCCAGGTTACATCGGCGTGGTCAACAGAAGCCAGAAGGACATAGATGGAAAGAAGGATATTACTGCTGCTATGGCTGCCGAGAGGAAGTTCTTCCTCACCCACCCTGCCTATAGACACCTGGCTGACCGGATGGGCACACCGTACCTCCAAAAAATCCTCAATCAGGTGAGTAGCAATAGCACTAAAATATTTCTCACTTCCACCACTGATCTAACAGTGACCCTTTGACTTGATCAGCAACTGACCAACCACATTCGTGACACCTTGCCGGGCCTGCGGACCAAGCTACAGAGCCAGCTCCTCTCCATAGAGAAGGAGGTGGAGGAGTACAAAAACTTCAGACCTGATGATCCGTCTCGCAAAACCAAGGCTCTCCTCCAGTGAGTGGCAGCGCAGACAGACAGGAAGTTGTGCAGACACATTTCTCACTGCACGTGTCTCCATCTTTTGTGCAGGATGGTGCAGCAGTTCTCTGTGGACTTTGAGAAGTGCATAGAAGGATCTGGAGACCAGATCGACACGGCTGAGCTGTCAGGTGGTGCGAGGATCAATAGAATCTTCCACGAACGCTTTCCCTTTGAACTGGTCAAGGTGCGTGCGACGTCCAGAAACCCGAGTGCGCCAATGAGCAGATTTGATCACACTTACTGTCTCCTGGTCACACAGGAAGATTTGTTTATCAGTTTATTGTTAGCTGAAGAGCAAGTTGGAACAAAACAGAACAGGTTAGTTATTAGTGTTTAAAAGAGGAAAAGGACACTCTGTAATCGCAATCATGTTTAGTGCTCAAATCTTTAAGAGGTAATATAAATAGGTAAGAGTTTAATATAAAACTGATCCATCTGCGCTTTAAGAGAGGTTCAAGCTTTCCTTTTTTAACTCGGTGAATAAAAAGTTGGTGACAGGACAATCAGTGATCATTGCAGATATTTGTGTCACAAACTTTTCCACATGTGAGCAAATGTGTTCACTTCATTTGAAGTAACAGGTTCAACAAGCGTAGCTCATCAATTCACCTGCTTGGTGTTTTTGACTTTCTTTCTTCTCACCGATTCCATTTTTCAACCTTCAAGATGGTTTTGCGTCACAAACATCCTGATATGACAAGTTTAATGTGATTATTTACAGCAGGAAAAGTAAGAGTGGGACTGATAACCCACTCAGGGAATTATTGCAATGACGTGAGCAGCAGCAGGAGTTTTCTGAGATTAACTCGTCCTTCATGAATACATCTGTAGATTTCTTGCTCTGAAGTTTCTATAAAAGAGGCTTATACTCATTTATACTTCAATTTTAGATCTTTTTATTTCACTGTTTTTTAATTTATTTATTCTCCTCATCCACTTCCATCCTGTCTTTTCCTCACTCACCCTCCAAGCCCTTTCACCTTGTCTCACTCCCAGTCCTCCACTCCCTGCTTTCCTTCCTCACTCATGTCCTCTCTCAATGTCCCTGTGAGCGTATAAAACTTTATTGTCTGCAGAGAAATGCAGTTTCTCACCAAGAGGACAGAGCAGGTTGCTTCCTAATCAGAGGATTAACTGAAAGCACACCAAAAAGCCTCCGTCGGATACATTTGAAGGCGATTTATTGTCTTTTATGTGCGTTTTTTAAAAAAAAAGTGTTTTGGAAAAAGAAAAATCTAAAACCCGATAGATGCATGTGATGCATGTGGTGTTGCTGTAAATTAAAAAGGAGATACTTGAGCGGATTTATTAAAAACAGATGGTAGGAGAATAATACATGAACTCACATGGAGTCTGCTTTGTGTTTGCCAGAATACAAAGTCACTGAGTGTGTTTGTGCTTAATCTCCTTTCTGTCTTCTTTCAGATGGAGTTTGATGAAAAGGAACTCCGCAAGGAAATCAGCTATGCTATCAAGAACATTCACGGCATCAGGCACGTCTATCCTTCATTTCCTTCCTCTGTCCTTCCATCCCTTCTTCCTCACCTCCTCCTCCCCCTCCATCTTTACTCTGAAGCTAACAGTCTCTCTATCCTCTGCTGCAAAGCTGTGACCAAAAATATGCTCATACATTTAAGTTTGTGCATAAACTGTGTGGTTAAGCGATACTCGATTTTCTTGCCTTCTTTATGCGGTTTGATTTGTTCTTGTACTTTTACATGGTTGGTTTGTGTGGATGGTGAAATCTTTCTCTTTTTTAAATTTCACATGTGTGTTAGCTCACGTTCACCTCCTCCAGCATTATTTGTATGTCATCCTAAAGGCTAAAATACCAGGAAACGATTGATAACAGTTCAGATTTGGTGCCAAAATTAACTTTAGCAGCTCAACAACATTTCACCGACTGGTTTTATGAAGTTGTAAAGTGAAGTGGTTAGCATTTTGTCTTCTTTAAACATAGTTAATCTGAATATTTGTTTAGATAATGATTTTATTTGTCAGGCTTGAGCTGATTATTCAAATAGTGACAACCTGACTGGTCATGGGACGTCTCCTTGAAAATGGGAACTCTCAAAGTTTTTACAGTATTCCTAGTATAAAAAAGTAATTCTAATTATTGAGTCATTCAAGTCATTGTTAGAAATATCTCTTGCGTTAAAGGGACAGGTTATATGTTTTCTAGTTATGTTCTTTGGAAAGGTAATAAACAGTTAATATCTTACCTGTTGTAGATAGTGCTTTGAATGACCATAGTCTGGAGAAGAAAATGTTTAATTTGGATTAGACTAATGAGCTAGCAGCTAATCTGAGTGAGACCAAAATCAAAGTGGATTGCTGTTAGCTCGAAACAACTGTTTTCAAAATGTTATTTGTGATTCATGTAGGCACTTTTTAAAAAACATTTTATTTTTGTCAGATTTGCATCACATGAGTATTTAGTCACCAGCAGTGCTACAGTTAGCTGCTACTGCCATTTGTGCTTGTAAACCATAAAATGTATGTAAATAACCATGTAAAGCAAATCTGATGGTGATATAAAGGTTCATAAATTAGCATTCGCTGTAACCGAAGTGAAAGCTTTTCGCCTGGAGTTGTTTTAAGATGACAACAGTCCACTTTGGTCCTGGTCTAACCCAGACTAACCATTAGCTACTGTATTTTTCCGTCTATAAGGTGCAATTAAAATCCTTTAATTTTCTCAAAAATCTACAGTGAGTCTTATAATCTGTTGCGCCTTATAGTCCAAAAAATAAGCTAATTAATCTGGTCAAAATTAAACTCCCATCTTTCCAAACTCAGAATCTTCAAAAAGCTATCTATAGCAGGTAAGATATTAATTTGTTATAACCTCCTAACCAAACTACATTTAAAAAAAATCAGAACTATTTAAGTACTAACAATTTAAGGGAATTATCCCGGGATATTTTTTCTTCTTTTTCTGATTGGTTAAAGGTGGGGAGGGAAGGCAAAGAATTAGAAAAATAACTTCACAATTAACATTCTTCTCTCTGCCTCCTCCCTCCTCCTGTCTTTCTGTCTCTCTCTCCCCCTCACCGGTCTTTCGGCCCCGTGGCTGGTTCTCTCGGTGTCGGGCAGAACCGGCCTCTTCACCCCGGACATGGCCTTTGAGACCATTGTGAAAAGGCAGATTGGGAAGATTAAAGAGCCTTGCACCAAATGTGTGGACATGGTCATTTCTGAGCTAGTCATTACAGTTAGGCAGTGTACCAGAAAGGTAAAAAACAAAACATAAACAGTGGTTAGCACTTGCTCAGTTTGTGCTTTTATCCTTTGTCCTCAAAAAGTCCTGCGGTTTTTGACTTCCCTGTGCTGTGACCACCTGACTCTCTCCAGCCCTCGTTGTTGTCGGACAGCGAGGGGACACCTGGAGTGGCAGGGTGGGCTGATGTTTACCTGCTTGTGGGTCATAGTTGCTGAAGAAATCCAGTGTGGAAGCTGAGCAGTCATCACAATACGATTGTTGATCAAAGATAACACAAGCGCATTTGAAAATGGAGATTAATACAACCCCAGTTACGACAAAGTTGGGAGCACATGTTCTAAAATCTGTTTATACTCATCTGCATTGATGGGCCTCTCTAGATGCGTAAGCTGCCCAATCTGTAGGCTCTAGTGCACCCCCATACCATCAGAGAAGCAGGCTTTTGAATTGTGCTCTGATAACAGGCTAGATGGTTCCTCTTCTCTTTAGTACAGATTGAACTTTTTTGGATTTTTTTACCTGGATTATTGAGCATGCATCAGGATACAGAGAACATTGTTTCCAAAATAATTTCAAATTTTGATTATGTACTTATGAAAGATTCAGCCTCTAAAATGCTCTTTTATACACAGTCCTGGTTCCAATTTACCTAATTAGTTAGAAAAAAGCTCCTCCAGCTGTTTTTAATTCACACTACCTACGTTTACAGCCTTTTGTTGCCCTTCTTCTAACATTTTTTAAATCGGCTGCTGCCATAAAATTATAAACGATCAAAGAATTGTACAATTTCTTAGTTTAAATATTTTACAAGTTTACTGTATTTCATTGTGAGCAAAATGTGGATTTATTGAGTTTGCAAGTCATTGCATTTTGTTTTTAATTGCCATTTTACAAAACGTCCCAACGTTTTCAGAATTGGGGTTGTAGTCGTCCTTATTCATTTTTCACCTCGAGTAGCGTGAGATCTACTTTAAAAATGAAATTAGGAACTCAAGCGTTTCCACTTTTCCGACACAAATTCGTTAAATCATTTGTTTATATTTTAAAATGTCCTACAACCATGCTAGATGACATCAGTTTCCAGACTTTCTCATGTGTGAGACTGCAGTCACGCACCTGCAGACATAAAAATCACAGCCTAACAGCATTTAGAAGTGGGGCCAAGACAAATGAGCAGTAGTCTTTATCCAAATGGATCCACTGTGACTGAATGATTTCAACAGCAGCGGCTTGGAAGACCTCGGAGAATAATTGTTATGATAAAAGACTTGAGCTAAATGTTAGAGGGTCAAATCCAGGAGGGGTGGGGGATTATGGGTCTTGGCTGGATGTCCAGGTGCACATCTGCAGTCTTGTTGTGTGTTGTTGCTTCAAGTTTTGGCCGGTGGTGTCATGCAGGCTGAGGGGGTCCTCTCTTTTTCTAACTACTTGTCTTCTCTTTCTGCTCCCGCTTTCCTCTCAGAGAGAAACTCCAGTGCTGGCCTGTTTTAGAATGGCTTGGGAAAACCAAATGTTTCACTCGTGTTTTCTTCCTTCTGCACTGTTTGTTCTTCCAACCCTGACACCCCTTTCTCTTTGTTTTTTATACCATCTTTACCATCACTTTTTTCCATAGTCTGGTCATTGTCTCCCTCCTTTACTTTGTTTCCTCTCTCTTGGTTTGTTTTCATCACCTCTTCACCTGCCTGTTTTCCCATCTACTCTGTCAACTCCTTGTTTGGTGCCTCTTTCTCCATCATTTCTTTCGTTTTTCCTCTTATGCTCTCGTTCTTTCTTGTTCTGCCTGCTCATTTCAACAGGACGGGGCTTTTCACCCCTGACCTGGCCTTTGAGGCTATAGTGAAAAAGCAGATCCAAAAGCTGAAGGAGCCCACACTGAAGTGTATAGATATGGTTGTGGGTGAACTCACCTCCACCATACACAAGTGTAGTCACAAGGTAACACGCTCCAAAAGAAAGAAACAAACACTAGCGACATTTCTGTTAACCTCAAAGGTAGGGGTAGACTGATGGCTGGAGATGATTTGACCCATTTTTATAGAAATCACAAATGATTCAAACTCTAAAGGAAGGATTTATTTACTTTACAATAGTCCCTCGTTGATTGCAGATCCGTACCCTGAAGCCCTGTGATAAGTGAAAAACCGCAAAGTAGGAATAGTAGTACAAGTAGTAAGTAATAGTTTATTTTAGTATACATACTGTATATATATATATATATATATATATATATATATATATATATATATATATATATGAAGGCATTTTAAACCCTTCCCACATGCTTGCAATATTCTAAACAATGTTTCTAAACTCTAAACGCTCTAAAAGAGCACATAATGTCATGATTTCAGCTCTGCCTCCAGCTGCAGTCAGCTGCCTGCAAGCACTCTTGGCCACGCCCACTTCTCCGTTCTACACAGAGAACAGCTGATCAGCTGCAGCGGGAAGCTTATCCTGCAGTGTGGGCTGCACAAAGATGCAGCAGGTGCTAAATATTTTAAACTAATTTCTTTTAAGTAAAAAAATCCATGGCGATCGTGTGGCTCATCCATCAATCAGCCAATTGTGTTTTATGTCCAATCTTAATTTGAAAAACCGCGATAGAGCGAGGCCATGAAAAACGAACCGCGAAGTAGCAAGGGACTACTGTATATGCTTTAATTCCAATTGACTCTAAGCTCAAACTTTGTGTAAACTGCTCTTAAATACACTTTTATAAATTAAATTAGTATTAATTCAGAAGCTAGTGAACATCTGCCTTTTTAGCCGTATGTCAGCCACATTTTGAGTTATACTCCCTAAAATTAGCAAATTTTGTAATGTTAATTATTAGTTCATCTGTATGAACCGTTGTAGATAAGCAGATTTCATTTGTTGTTCTGAAAGTTTGACTAAAGTGATGAAGAAATCAAAGTTTGACTTGAGATTGATACTAGAGCCAATGCCAGGGATCACTAATGTGTTTGCATTTTTTTGCTGAGAACGTGCACCATGTGTTGATGCATCACGTTAGGGCAAAGTTAATTTCACGAGATGACCAAAAGCAACATCTTTTATAAATTTGTTAACCACAAATATCAACAAAGACTGAATAAATATTAAAATGGAACACATATCAAACAACAGAGCATAAGGTAGCTGGAATGCTTCACTATGTCCAAGACTAATAATAAAAAACAAGATTTATCCAGCAAATATCAGTCTATTCTTACTTAATTTAATCAAAATCTTAATTAGACTTTTTTTTTCTTTTTTCGGAACGCTATGGACCTTAAATTAGCAAGTGCATGTTAGATATTTTTTATTGATTTTAACTTTTGATGTCTAACAAATCACTTCAGTTTTTTTTTTTAACCAAAATTATTTAACCCTGTTTCCAAAAAAGCTTAGGCTCTGAATACAGTGAAATGCTTTTAAAATCAGAGCACACTGATGAGAAAACTGAATCACAATAAAAATGAGGGTAAAGGAAAAAGTCAACAAGTCTAGTAAACTAGAAAACATATATGCTCAAATTGCTAGCAATAGCGTCAAAATTTAATTAGTCTGGCTTATTTATTGCGTGATATAAATTTTTGCTCCCTCTGTATTTTGCAGCATTTTTTTGTTGTGTGCCAAAAGTTAAATTTGTGACTATTCTTGACAACAGGAAGGCCCGTCTTTGGTGAAAAACACCCTGCGGATCTAAAATATCTACACAAATCAGCATAAAAGCCGATTTGGTAACCTTAAAAATGTAGATCAAATTCAACCTCCCTCTCTGCTGTGCTTCTGCTGATGGACCAATTTCTTCGTGTTTTAGATGTTTCTATCAGATCAGACTACATCAGAGATTTGACATTTTTATTTTTTATTTGTCTCTTGTTTCATTGTCAAAACACAGTGAACATTTAAACAAATACAACTGAAAGTTATTTGTTATTAATGTTAGCAAGATCTGCTTTAATGATGCCTTCACAGAGAGGCCAATAACTTATTGCCCTATGGTTCATCGTACACTCTGATTTTTGAACTGGGAGCTGATAATGAATCAGAATCAACCTTTATTGTCGTTGCACAGAAGCACAACAAAATTACATTTCAGTACAGCCGTCCAAACATGGGTAGATGGGAATGCCTGAGGCTGCAGCCTCATGTGAAGCGCTGCCCTTTTCGTTTAGATAAGGAAAAATGGAAAGCACGAGGAAAGGGGAGGTATAAAAAAAATCATATCTCACATTGTGTCCTTTACGGGACAAAGTGTGAGGTTGCAAAAAAACCTCAGCACAAGAAAAAGTAACACACTGGTGACATATGAGGGGGGAGCAGAGCGTCTTGTTCACATAACATCCAGGAGAACTTGAGATAGTCAACCTTCCAAGGCCGACACCGCGGGAGCCAGATTCAGACAGCAACATTTGTTTTGGGTCAGGCCAAGCTCTAATGCCCATTTGCCTTTTGCAATCTTGCTAGTACATCTCAATGGAAAATTTTATCAATTGTGTTGAGAGACCAGCTGACCAGATCCATAATTTACAATTATTATGATATGCAAAAAGAGGCTCTGAAAAATGGTTCACCGGACAAAGAGCAGAGCAAGGAAGGAGCAGAAGGGAAATGCATCCGCCTTAGCCGAGAGCAAAACCGAAAGAAGCTCGTTTATCATCTGGACTTTAAACATCTTCATGATGTTTTGTGTTTGTAAACTTCATTTAAAAGGTTTTGTTTTGTTGTCAATATATAGATGAGGTTTCTAGAGCTTCTTCAACTCTTAAACTGGAGTCATAGTTAACTGATTTTAATAAAAAATAAATTCTTCTGAACTTAACTTTGTTTACCTTAATAGGATTAGAAACTAAAGGTATGATAAAAAAAAACAACTTTAAATATTATATTTAAAAAGGTATTTTCAGATCTTTTCTTGGTTTATATTCAGCGCCTGTCGTTTTTGGAAACAGCTTTATATTTTTCCGTCTTTGTCAGTTCAGTTAAACGTACCGGAGCGACTGGTTGTGTGGTTTTCACTCACTGACTAACTGACACACTCTGAGCATCTTTTCTTTTCTTTTATTATTTTTAATCTCAGTTTCTCTTTCACCCTCTCCATCCTGTCGTCCTCTGCACCTGTATTCCAGCTGCGACCTCCGTTGGATTTCTCTGCTCTGTCACACTTTAATCCTCGTTTTGGTTTTCAGAGACGAACGGTATTTAACGATACTGTAAGACAAAATGCAGCGTTAGGGGAGAATCCACAGAGGGGTCAGTTTGAAGTCCCTGCACCCCCCCCCCCCCACCTGGCTCTTTGCATTGCATGTCAGTCTGAATTAGTAAAAAAAGCTGAAACATTTCCTCCACTGTCAAGTCAGTCAAAACTGGGCACGCGCAATGTGTGACAGCCTGTCTCTGTCTTCAAGTTGCAATGCATTGTTCAGGTCGTGCAGATTATTTTGCTTTTAGCCGTTTTATATTTGGAATGCGTTTATCTTTTAAAATCACCTGAAGGTGGGGCTGGAACATTGTTGTTTTTGCCTGTAAATACAATTCAAAATGGCCACCACAGCGAAGCAAGCTTAGCAAACATAATAAAGGGTAAAACTCAGTTAGTTTTACAGGTTACTGAGTGAAAACTTGATGTGGTGGTAGCTGAGAGTCATTCACAACACATACTTTGAGTGCTAACATCTAGCTAACGTCATTTCTGAGGTTTGACCAAAACAGCAATATCTGTTCCCTCACATCGAAAGAGGATATTTGTCTAAAACTTCAAAGAAATTCTAGACCTTCAGTTAGTTTAATTTTTATATTTTATTATTTTTTTTGCAAATGTGAATTTACAAGCTTTGAGAACCTTCAGATGCACGTCATCAGCAGTTTTCATTAGTAATGAGACAGTACAGATATTATTAACTGCTGCCATCTGAACAAAGTCAGCCCAAATTACAACTCATCCTCAGTTGGCTTTACAATCTTTGAATAAATAATATGTTTATTTATGTTTATTTGTTCTTGAATCTCTAGTTCAAGCAAAAAAAAAAAAACTCCCCAGAAAAACAAAATGAATGAGGAACAGCAGAGAAAACCTCAAATATTCATGCATTAGTGTTTGTGTCTGCATGTGAAGAGCTGAAAAGCATGACTGGCGTGCCTTAAAGAACTGGTCACTCATCATGTGTTTCCAACACTTTAAAAGGCCATAATTTGACCTTTAATGTCAGGACTTTTACCATAATTTATCTGGATATTCTGACTTCTTCTTTCCAGCATAATCTGTGCTGTAATTGGACCCAGGAAACAATAAATCAAACCAGAAAATTGTCCATTGATGCCCGCCTCCCTCCCCAAAAAATCCCCATCAGACCGACATGAAAGATGCATTGTAACTTGCACAGAAACAAACAAACCAAAAAAACATTTATCTTTCTCTGCATTGTGATTTTGGCTTTTTGATTCTTATTTCTTTCATCCTCACACTTTGGCTAATGTGTTTGTGTCACGTTGGAGGCCCACCAACATCTGTGGCTTTGCACTGAGCTCATGGAAAAAGACTCGCAGTGTGCTGGAAATGAGGCTTTTCTGCCAGGAGCGCTGGTTATTCTGTGTTTGTATTGTAATATCACAGACTTAGCTCTGTTGCTTTGCATTTTGTCCATGCTGGCAACAAATAAACGTTTTAAACACAATCTAAATAAAAAAATCCACTTGCTGGTCAGGATGTGCAGAGCATATATCTAAGTCTGGGATATACCCAACACATGTTTAAATGTCCTTCTGTATTTTGTTGTCTGTGGTTCAGTGAGATGAGGAATTTGGTGTGTGTGTATATGTGTTGATTGACTGTGTGTGTGTTTATGCTACCTACCTGCTGGTTTCTGTGCTTACAGTTGGCTCAGTATCCCATGCTGAGAGAAGAGATGGAGAGAATTGTGACTCAGCACATCAGAGACAGAGAGAGTCGCACCAAAGGCCAGGTACTCCTCTTACGACGCCTCACTTTCTGGACGGTGACAAAAAAAAAAAAAAACGTTGCTGCTAGAGCACCCAGAAAATTAGTTTTTGCCAACATTTGCTGTTTCACTCATGCACCACAAATCAGGAGATTCTCTGCATGAGTTGTGCTCTCTCGACTGGAAATTGCACCTGAGTAAAGCCCAGAAATGGCAGGAAAGTATGCTCTGTGAACTGCAGCCATTTCGTTAAAGTCATAAATCAAATTTACAACTTTACTTAAAAAAAAATAACAAAATTTAAATTACCCTGATCAAAAAAGTCAATTTAACCTTAAAAATACATGGTTTTTAATATAATATTTCTGCAGACACTGTAAGGACAATATCTGGACTACAGTAAGTGAATACATTTTGATAATAAGAGTTTATCTTACTGTACTTTAGGAATATATTTGTTTATGGTTGTATTTGTACAACATGCATATGTGTAGTATAAAAATTACATGAAGTGACATGCAAACCATGAGAAAAAACATAAAGCAGCAACTTCAGAGAAACACAGGCTCGTTATGGAAACTTGTTTGGTGCCTTGATGTTGCATCCTCACATTCAGAACCTCTGGATAGAGTTTGCTACATTTTGGTGCTTCAGTGCTTACAAGAAGCTTTAGTAGATTTTGTATTAGGTGACTGATTACTTTTAATGTAGGAACGTTTCTTAGACGGACAGAAAAGGTTAAAATGTTGCCAGAAAGTGGCCAAAAAACACAAATGAAGCTCTTTAAAACATTTCGACTCCTGTTGTCATTTTCCAACCTTTGCTGTGATTTTTTTTTTACCTCCTGTGATGCAAAATCCTAAGAAATAAAAGTCGGTGTTTCACAGGAATTAAAACAATTATAAACATTAATGCATAAACTGAGCCAAATTAGGATAGGGATAAACGTGGGAAGGTCGTAAATCATCTCTCCTATTTTATGTGAAATTAACAAAATTTAGTCAAACAAAATGTAACATTAATTGTGTAACAATATTTTGGAATAAACAATGAAAGGTGGGTTTGATATTTGAATGGATTGGATTATGAAGGTTTCTGAGTACTTATTTTAATTTGAGTACGTTGCCTGCGTTGTCATTTGCAATTATCGTATTTTCCGGCCTATTTTCTGTCAAAAAATGTCTAATAATTTGGAAAAATCCACAAATAAGTCGCTTCGCCGTATAAATGATGTTTGTTACGCATCACCGGTGACAACCCGGAAATACTGTATGGGCTGGTGTGCCAAAAATCAGTTGGCTGCCAAGTGACGGCCGCGGGAGCGTGCACGGGAAGACTTTATAAAGATTTACACTTAAAAACAATTATTTGTTTTCTCAAAATTATAACAAAGGTGTGTCTCAGTCCAACTTTTCCTTAATAAATGCACTTTGATGATCAAATCATCTGCATTTCAAAAGCCGATTAGCGGAAGCAGGAACGTGCAGAGGGACAACTCGCTGTGCATTTCTTCAAAATTTAACAATATAACCACCTAAAAACAATTATTTGTCTTCTCGAAATTATAGTAAAGGTGTGCCCCAGTTGAACTTTTGCTTGATAAATGCACTTCAGTGGTCAAATCAGCTGCATTTTCAAAAGTATTCGCTGCCTCGGTGCTCTGGGAGCGGGCAAAAGGAGGAAATCAGGAAGGAGGAACACTGCACATTTCTTCAAAATTTAACAAGATAGCACCTAAAACAATTATTTGTTTGCTCGACATTATAACAAAGGTGTGTCTCAGTTGAACTTTTGCTTAATAAATGCACTTCAGTGGTCAAATTAGCTGCATTTTGCCGGGCGGCGCAGCAAAATGAAGCTGATTTGACGGTTGCTCCAGCTGGACGAAGGTGGCAGGCTATGGCAAGCCGATTGTGTCAATAATAGCCACTTTTACCTATTACATGACACAACGACATGTCATAATACTCGATTGCTATCTAGCGGCTAAAAATGGAAGTGTGCAATACTTTCAATGTCAGAATGAATGAAAACGGTCATGTCTCAGTCAAAAATGTGGTTACAAATATGGGAAAAATCCATAAATAAGTCACTTCAGTGTATAAGTTGCAGGGTATGCAAATTAGACAAAAGATGCAACTTATAGGCTGGAAAATCCAACAGGTTTTACTGATATTATAAGAATAATGAAACAATATTTAATAAATAGAAAAACTCCACTAGTTGTGATATTCATGCCACAGCTTTGTGTCTCTCAGCATGAGTTAAGACTCTAAAGCCAAATTAATTTCCTCGATTGTTTTTCACAGATTTACATCATGAATCTGGGCATTAAGTCAGTTATCTCTTCTGTTCAGGTGTTGCTGCTGATTGACATCGAGTTGTCCTACATGAACACCAACCATGAAGACTTTATTGGATTTGCAAAGTGAGTTTTTCCTGCTAAATCTCAGCTTTCTGCGCCTTTTACGAGGCTCCTGGTGTCCTCTGATGGTCTGTTTGTTGGCAGCGCTCAGCAGAGGATCAGCCAAATGAACAAGAAGAAGACAGCTGGAAATCAGGTACTCCCATCAGAGTCGAATGGACGCTGTTGGTTTCTAGGAGTTTGTTCGGGACTCTCGAACACAATCCTGTTAGTTCATGCTGCACCCTAATGTACAAAAATTGTGCGATCGTAAAACAAATGCGCCTTTTGGTGAAAGCCACAGCTGTGTCAGCACAAATGAAGAATGTTGGAACATATCCAGGATGCATTATCGCTTCTGGGGTTAAAAGTTTTCAGAAGCGGGTTTGTGTAAATTGTAGATTAGCACAAACATACTCAGCTTACTTCCCTTCAATATGAATAAAAATACAAATAAATCTATCACATCTATACATCACAAAAGCTCTAACAATAATTATGGATTAAAAACAGCTTTTGCATGATTCACACTTTGCTTTTAGGTGTATTTTGCTACACATTCTGTGGATGCTTCCACTTTTTGCACATATCATTTGAACTTTCTGCAAATCCTGTCTTATGATATTTTTTTTACTTGTGTTTCCTACAAGCTTTTCTCTTCTCTTTTCTCTTTTTTCTGCTGGTATTGACCTCGCTGTGGTTTTTTTGCTTCAGGATGAAATCATGGTGAGTAGTGGGAGTGTGTTTTAAAGTTGCATGTCTGCAAGTACGCTTTCATATGTATGAGGCGAGTCTGTGGTAACATTCATGTCTTTTTGGAATATAACTGGGATTTGCTGTAAGATGAATATTAAGTTTCTTAGAAACGGCTTTTAGATGGCAGGTGGCTGTAGAAAGAGACGCTTGGCTGCTTCCTTTTCCACTCCTTTTCACTCTTCAGGCACAAACGTATGCACTCATAAAGAAGATTACACGTTAATGTAAATGTGCTGCACATTCTGCCTGCAGAACAAAACCAGACTGGGATATTTCCCTTGTTATATAATATTCTTGTGCCATGTAAAGGCTCTGTTTGGAGACGAAAATTATTCCCTCTCTAGCTGTGCTTGAAAATAAAGTGAGAAGAGGAAAAATAATAATTTTAACTGCAACAATTCAGATCTCTGCCTCTGTTTTTGTTCCCCACTTTTATCAAACTCATGCAAAGTAACATAAAGAGCAGAGGAGGTACAAACCCTGCAGTGTGGCACACATATGGCACCCCTTCGTCTTCACCGTGATTAGTGGCCAAAGGTTAGAGGCACATGGTAAACAAAGTGGGGAACTTCACTTCCTGTTTAGAAATGGATGCTGCTGGCCCTTTAAGACCCCACAGCTTCTGTTTTTCTCATTCAGCACCTTCAGGCCAGGAATTTAAAACATAACTTAACAAAAAAAAAAAAAAATAAAAAATACAAACTGGATTAAAAAAAAGGCTAAAGCAGCCCTTTGTTATAAAACAGCTCAAGATGCAGCACTTGATTATTTCTCCGTGTAAAGCTGGAGAAATCTCAAAGATTACAGCCTTAATGTGAACAAAATCCATAAAAATACACTGAGGGACTGATAAAGAGATTTTTCTTTTCTCTGCAACATTAAACCAATTTTTTTTGTCCAGAAAATAATAAAAAGTGCATTTCACTTTTAAACTAAAACTGTTGGTAACTCCTTTTAAAAAACGTTTGATAAGACTTGCTGTGCAATGCTGTTTCTATAAATAAAGTTTCAGTTTCTCATGTAATGTTTTGAAATTGAAAGAAAAATTGGTTGAAACATTTTGGGTTTTTCAAGAAAACAAAGAATATTGAGGCTTTTCTTTTAAGCAAACTCATTGCCTCAATAAAAAAAAGTATTCTTAAGGTGAATTAGGGGTGTGGTGGTGCAGAGGTTAGAGAAGGTGAGCCTGTGATCGGAAGGTTGCCAGTTTGACCCCTGGACCGACAACATAAAAAATGTGGGTCTGCTCCACCTCTTGGGCCTTTTATTGAGACCCTTAATCCCAATTTTCTGCTCCCCGGGCACCCTAAATGGCAGCTCTCTGCTCCACACAGAGGGCTGTGGTAGCTCGGTGGTCTGTGGTTGCATCAGGAAGGACATTAAAACAATTGCCAAGTCTTTGTGTGAGTTAGTTCGCCGTGGCGACCCCTGAGGAAGGGAGCAGCTGAAAGAAGAAGAAGATTCTTTAGTGAATTACTCGCGCCGTCCTAAAAACAAATAGAACTGAAAATGTTTCAATCAAATGCATCACAGAACAAAACAAATCACCTGCATCTCAATGCACGATTCTCAAATATTTGCCATGAGCTGTCAGTCGTAGCATCCTTACCTCGCTCAACCCCACCCTGCCTGCTGTCCTGTAGCCCCCCCCCCCCCAGCAGGCACCGACAATCTGCTGGTAGTTGAAGCAGACTTGAAGTATTTGGCCTTTAATACATGCCCTGAGTTGGCGTAGCTGTGTAACAATCTCTCCACATTCTCATCCAGCCGGAGAGAGGAGTTAACGATCGGTTCAAGGTAAATAACTCATTGTGTCTATAGAGTCTGTGAGGAGAGAATGAGGCACGAGATGTAGAAAAAAATGAATGTTAGGTTGTGTGGGTGAGAGTTTTTGCAGCTTCTTAACTCCACTTGAAGAAGTTTTTTAAAACTTTATCTGTGGCTGCTTCTGTAATAAATATAAGCATCACATTAGTTGTAATCTATTTTGTTACCATTTGTGGATTTGTCTGTTTCTCAGGTGATCAGGAAGGGCTGGTTGACCATCAACAACATCGGCATCATGAAGGGAGGAGCCAAGGAGTACTGGTTCGTCCTGACTGCAGAGTCGCTGTCCTGGTACAAGGATGATGAGGTCAGCTCTCACACACACATAATAACTGTCAAACCAATTAAAACGGACTGCATAAGCATGCTTTTGATCCGTGGGTGAACATGCAACCTTCTTGTAGTGAGGCGACAGCGCTACACACTGCTCCACCGTGCCGCTACTTTCCCACTAACACACACACACAAAGAATTCAGATCTAAGTCAAGTATTTGTTTCTTTTGTGATTGTCAACATTTTACAGTAGAAAACCACAATTCTGAAAAAGTTGAGACATAGTGTAAGATGTAGATAAAAACAAATGCATGCTATACCATACCACTTTGTTTATAAAGCACTTAAAATAGCAACAAGGCCAGCCAAAGTGCTGCACAGCAGAAACAAACAAGCAAAGCACACAGCCAAAATACAAACATGTAGATCCAAATGGAAAAAGAAAGTAACTAAATGGCTAACATTGTAGAATAAAGACAAATTACACAGTGTCAAAAGTCAGGGAATAGAAGTGGGTTTTTAAACTAGAATTAAAAGCTGTGAGGGAGGGGGCCTGTCTGACATGCAACACAGAAGACCCTGTCACCTTTGAGCTTACGATGTGTTCCTGGAACCAATAAAAGCGTCTGATCTGCTGACCTCAGAGGTCGCTGTGGGACATATGGCTGCAGCAGATCAGCGAACTAAGAGGCAGCACAGCTGTTCAGAAATTTTAAAACATACAGAAGGAGTTTGAACTGAATTCGAAAGTGAGCCGGGAGCCAGTGCAGGGAGGCCAAAACTGGTGTAATGTGCTCTCTTTTGCCTGCACCAGTTAAAAATTGGTCTGCAGCATTTTGAACCAGTTGCAATCGTGCAATGGAGGTCTGACTGATTCCAAAAAGAAGCACATTGCAGTAATCAAGCCTGAATGTTATGAAAGCATGAATTAATGTCTCAAGGTTACTTTTGGACAGTATGGGCTTCAGTTTAGACAGTCGCCTTAACTGAAAAAAAAAACAAGATTTATCAATCATGTTTACATGACTGGTAAGTTTCATGAAAGGGTCAATTACCAATCCCAGATTAGTGACTCTTTGTTTCTCTAACGGGGCTAGAGAGGAAAAGTCGATGCAGTGGTTCTTGATCGTGCCAGTAGGATTTATAAATCTCATAAACCATATTTTAGTCACAATGAAAAATAGTAAACATATCAATTATTGAGACTAAGGAATTCTAAGTAACCAATTAATAAAATTATTATTTTGCATTTAATGGCAACAACACACCTCAAAAAGTTGTGACAGCGGGAACAAAAGCTGTAAAAGTGAGTGGCATGAATGAACAAACAGCTGGAGGAGCTTTTAGCAACTAGTTTGGTTTATTAGCAACAGGTCAGTAAGAAGAGAGAATCACCTGTCTGTGTAAAACTGTCTCATAATATTGAAACAATTTCAGAATAATATTCTTCAATTGAGACTTGGGAAGACTTTGAAAATTCCATCATCTACACATCACTGCATAATTAACGACTTCAAGAATCTGGATAAATCTCAGCCGTGCCGTTTTCAAGTTAATGGTCTTTAAAGTTATATGTTTTTGGATCAAAAACCCAGACTTTTGCACAACACTAAAGTTTTTGCGACGCACTAAAATCAGCAAGAGTTCACCAGTTGTTGTGAGGAGAATTTTATCAAACGTTTTAAAGAAAGAAAAACCTTGAGCCATTTAAAAAGGAAGTTTGTATTTTTCCAAACATCCCTGGAAACAAATTTATTTCCAAATACTTTCACGTATGGAAGCCATTTCCCCCTCTTTAATAGGTTCAGCATTGTCACTGAATGCTACTCTTTACTGTGCATCTTTGTTGCTTAATCACTAACTTTTTAAAGATTTTTAAACAAACTACTAAACCAGAGCTCTGTCTTTGTGGTAGGCTAAAGATGATCCTTTCCTGTTTTCATTCCTCCTCATTCCTGGCAACAACAACAAAAAAAAAAGTAAATAAATAAATAAAACAACCATCATCGCATTTAATGGTTGTACTTGGCGTGTGGAAACATTTTGATCTGCTTTGTTACTTGTTGTATCCCATGATGCTTTGCAGAACTGTTAGGCTGTAACCTTCTCCAGTTTATAGCCAGAGCCGCTCATTGCTTGATATGAGGAGTGCATGTTTGCATGTGTACAATGGAGTCTCCTCTTTCTAAAAAAAAAAAAAAAAAGTCTAGACCCCCAGCGTGTCAGACACCAAAGCTGGCACACACATGTGCATACCAGAGCCCAGTCCCAATTACACACACACACACACACAAACCTGCTTCTAATAAACTTACTTTATTTCAAAGGAGAAGTGCAGACTGGACAGCAGCAGAGGAGAGGGGCGCTGGCTAGCAGGAGCAACAAAGACGACGTGAAAGGAGAGAAAGTGTTGATGAAGAGGCATCACTGAGGGAGGAAGAGGAGGATGATATATATCCCGTCCTCCTATTCTCCTCCTCTCCTTCCCTTCACTGCATCCTCAAAAGTAAAAAGCAGAAGTAGTCTTTTTCACGTCTCAGCCGTTCCTCCATCTTTCCTTTTCTTTGCCTCCTGTATATTTATTTAAACGTGGAACTAGGAGGGCATATGGAGAACAAAAACCAACACTGGCGTGGCTCTGCTTCGAGGCTGGAGGGCACTGCAGTTCTCTGTAAAAAAAAAACTTTTTGTTATGTTTTCTGTCCAAGCTTAACATTTTACTTAGGCCCCTCAATCACACACAGCCACACATGCTACAAGTCCTCCTGAGGGCCTGTCCTGCAGACCTGCCAAAATAAACACTGTTAATGAAATTTTTATGTTTAGGTTAAAAGAAGACAAATGTATGTACGCAAGCCGATTGTGGCGCTCGATTCTGCAGGTTTAGCAGTTGCGTATCTACGCTTGCTTCTTCGCATGAGCTGAAAGAAAACCAAGGCGACGCCATTTTATTGACTGCCTCAGAAAACGGGGAAAACCCTTACTGTAGTTTGGCAATGCAGAGAAAAGCACGCACGCACACACACAAGCACATTACCCCCAGACACTAATAATAACTCTGAACCCAACTATCGGTGCCAGGATGTTTTGGTTAGTGTGTGTGCTTTTAGAAAACTTCTGGTCTGCATTACCACCGCGAATGCCAGTTCTTCAAATCAGGCTTTTTTTTTTTTTTTGTTTGTATGAAACTCCCGTGAAGCAAAGCCAAAAAAAGATGGCATGAATGAATACAAGAACCCCCCCCCCAAAAAAAAAGCAAAAAAATACAAGTAATTGTTTCAAGTGGCTCTGATCAATAGATCTTAAGTGTGTCTGAAGGTTGCTTTTTTTAATCCAGCTGTTTTTTTAAACTCTTTTTCAGTCCAGTACCTGGCAGTTTTCATAAGCATGTATGTTTTTGTTCTTTCGCAAAGCCACTTTACTCTGACCTATGAATTATTCAGCAACAAAAAAGTTTCATGAACCAGTGTTTACGAATCCATTTTCAATAGGATCTTCAGGGACTTTACCACAAAGGCATAATTAGTTTTTAGTTTCTTTAAGTCAAATCTATAAAAAATGTATACTTCATCACAAAGAAGTGGATTTTCTGAATAATGGTCATACAGTTGATCTGCTATTGTTTGTTGGCGTCTCTCTATTTCCTAAAAACATATTTAATATAAACGATTTTCAAATACTGTTCATCTATTTTTATTAAGCCTGACACTTCTTCTCTTCTCCTCTACTTTTCTCATTTTTTAGGCACACACAGTCCAGTACGGTGTTAAGGTCAGGTACAAAAACTGGACAGGAAAGAACTGAAAATTAGCCAAAGTACTACGATTACTTTGTAAGACCTCTAGAAAGCCTCGAGAACTATTGATCACTGGAGGACTGCAGGAGCATATAGCTCAAAGGGAGCAAAGTTTAAAGAAAAGAAAGTCCATGCACTTTTGGATGAAGTGCACATCATCAGTTTTGTGTTGGCCGATCAGTTGTAGACGTGCACCATTATTTTCTGGAAGTTGGATTTAAATCCATCTAGAAATCCATAAGATGAAGACAGACAGACAGACACAGCCAGTTCCCGTAGTTAATGGCATAGTTTTCGAACCAGATCTCGTGCGACGAGTTAGTGCTCAGAGTAAGTGGTGAGGATGACTCTCAGCTACTACCACAATAAATTTGAGCTCAGTATCTTTAAAATGGACCGAGTGATGGCTGTTTTTTTGTGTTTGCTAACGTTCAGATGTGGCTTTCTGAAATGGGGTTGAGTTCAAATGATATTTATTTGTAAATGATTCATCTCTGAAAATCAATCTATTTGTTCATGAAATATTTTGCTAACACTACAGTTAAATGAACGTGCACATGCACACACAGAGACGGCAAAATCCCCTTTCACCTTTGGCAGTGGGAGGAATGGATTTAAAGCTTTGACACAGTACTATACAGATTTTCATGGAGGTGCCCTTTCATGTGTTTGTCCACTAGCTGTGTATGTGTGTGTGTGTGTGTGTGTGTGTGTCTGGGTTTCCCTCCTCCTGCTGTAAAGTTGCCAGAAAGCCAGACTCGCCTGGTGATCCCAGCTGTAAACATCCTGGGGGGGTGGAGTAGAGCATGGGGGGTGGGGGGCAGCAGACACCCCAGCATCATAGGTTTGCGATGTGAGTGTGTTTGCCTTTACATACGTGTGTGTGCATGTGTGTTTCTGTGCATGCTATAGCTTCTACACATTATAATAGTTGAGTGAGGTTCATGGTGGCGGGGGCTTTAAATGGAAACAGGTTGGTTTGTGGTTTTGCATTCCTGCACACAGTGCTCTGTGATGGGACACCGTGCGAATGTTTCCGCCGTCTTGGCTTTTGTACTTGTGAAGAGTTTCAGATCTGACGCCGCGGCTTCGCTTTGTCACACCCAGACGAGGCTGAAAGGCGCACCGCGGCTCCAGAAACAAAAAGTAGAAAATAAAACATATATGAGAGTTGCAGCAACGTTTCTTGTGACGTCAGCAGCAAACATTAAAGCCACAATTTTATGCACCCCCCCCC